ATAAAATTAATTGCGAATGTTGATTTGCCCATCACTACTATCGCTACACATTTGGCAACGGTGACGTAACACTGATTCCACTGACATGATTTACCTCCTCCGTCTATGACGGTGAAAATACGGCAAGCACGCCGGCAACCAAAACCGTTGCGTACCTACGCAACAAGCGTGTTTTTTAAATTTTAAAGGGACCTCCGACGCGTGTTCGACGTCACCGGACGTTTCTCTCTCACGCTTTGCGGCCGAAAATAAGTTAACGTTCTGTTGTGCGACTTTCCATGCGCTACCTAAATTGAATTATATTCGCGGTAAGTACATATATCGAAACAAATTTTTGCTTGTAGTACCCGAAATTCGATGAATTTTGCATCATATAACCTCTTCGAACGAAAAACTTTAATTACTGTGAGCATTAATATTCTAAATGACAGACAAAATGTATTCTTATATTGTCTTTACAATGACACTTGTTAAATATTCGCAGATGAAAGTTCAAACTGAAATTGTCCGAATATAGCTGATATTGTTCAATGTGATACAATGTTATATCGATATATTATTGATAAATAATTGCATAAAAAATTTAAGTATAAGAGAGATTATTGCGAATGCTTACGTAATATGAATATTTACTGTAGATCGTCAAAAAATAACAACGATAAGCAAACTTTATATATGACTATTTCTCAAATATTCCAGAGGATAGCGATTTAAAAATTAATATTATCAAAAACTTATGTCTATATACTTGTCAATTTGATTTTGAAGTCAATTTCATTAAAACTAAGTGAAGTTATCACAGTAGAACATATATATATCGATATCAGTATCGACCAACGTAACCCTTACGACTCTCGAAAAAGTCGAAGGAGCTATGCATGCGAGACTCAACTTTTTCACGATTTATTCCTCATAATTGAACGAAATAATCTTTTCAATTTTATCGCAACATTTGAAAAACGATATAAGGAATTTTTATATTATAGTACAAGATGCGATAAAGTATGATAAATGAGTAAATTTTGGGAAATTCAAGGGCGACACGTGGACCGGAAACAGTTGCTCACCTCTAACATCCACTCCGCGACAATCTTGCGCATGAGCGGCGAGATGTCCCTCTGCACGCACTCGAAGTAAGAACTGCTGGGCGCGTATCTTTCCTCGGTTTTCAATAGATTTTGCAGCACACGGTCATCACCAAGAAGGGCTGGATCAGCATAGGCTCTGCACTCAGTCTCAGTAGTCTCGCAGCAAAGCAGATCCATGATCCCGTGGCGTTTCTAACCTCTCGAACACGCACACGCACAACAGAGAAACGGCGGTGGCGGCACAGCCTCTCCTCCTCCTTTTTCTCTGGTGACTGTTCGCGATCGAAGATATTCCGGTGTGTCAAGCTTTTCGACGACGCACAGAGATTCTCGGGGATCGGACGTTTTTTCTCTCCTCCTTCGTTTTTTCCGTCCCTTCTCACCGCCGTCGTCGTCGCCGTCGCCGTCGTCGCGGTGTCACTTTATTCACGTGCCACGTTGCCAAACCGTTTTTCGCCGGCGCGACCAGACAGAGCATGCACGAATCGATCGTAAAGATACGGTAGTTCACACGAATTCGCACGAGAAGACGCTTGCCAGGACACTCAACACTTCACAAAATATAACATATATATACACATGTCATACGCGTGTATACATACACGTACAGGACCTTGGTTTCGGGCAATGACTTCGAATATATCACTCACCTAGAGGCTATGTACGCGAAAACAATATATACAACACAACGTCGAAATTCGACGACGTGAAAAAAAGCCGGGTTTTATTATCCCTTGCACAACACACTCTCCTTTCGTCTCTGATATTCTCTCGTCTGGCGTAGTTACCGAATTGTATAGCTCTTTTTCTTGTATTGAGCTCTCCTATTTTCTTTATGTACATATATATCCTCGTATCGTCGAAGCTGCCTCTCGATCAAGAAAAGAGAAAAAAATAAAACGAATAGCTCGAACACACACTAGTAGCGAATGAATAAAAAAGATCGTTCGAAGGGACGTAGGACGTAGGTTGTAGGATTATAAATAAGCGTAATTCGGCCTTGTTGGTTGTGTTTCGTCGATTAGAGTTACTTGTGAATAGTTCGTTGCACCTAGGTTTACGTTGTTGTGGATAGGTGCACGAAGAAACTGTTCCCCTTTTGAAACAACTTGGCTTCGGGTGATTTAAATGTCCTGCGATGCAAGCTTAGTCTTATTCACTTCCTCACGATCCGACACTGGCGACTTACCAGGTCAGAATGTCGCTTGTCGTCGTACCGTGGTTCGGTCTCCTCCGGTTCGTTCTATCCGAAGGGGTGGTAGGTGCGTCCCCACTATCTCGGCGCCAAACGATCACGTGACCATGGATCGATCCCTACCACCAAAGCGCCAGCGTGTCACGTGAAACGTAACTGTTCCCCCACTATTGGCTGACATGACTGGGGCGCCAGTGCCGGATTCGCATCGTGTAACAAGAACCTAGCGCAACTGCCACCTACAGGGTCGCCACCTTCGGCGTCTCGTGTTATTTCAGGGACGACTATGAAATCTACGGAACCAAGGTGGTAGTGTTTTAACCTGCTGTCGAAATTCACAAAGCTGAAAAAGTTTTGAATGTGAATGATTTATTTAAACCTTTTAGAGCTGTGCTATTCACGATTTCCGTTAGAATTTGTGAACAGGTTAAAATTTTTATTGTGAGATTTAAATTTTTGAGGATTATTCAGGATAAAGCGTATATTTATGTTTTAAATGAAATATAATTTATTTTTTTTTCTTTTCTGATTATGATTTTTTTTGTGATTTTCTATAAATGAAAGTTCTAGAATTTGCGATTCTTATAAATTATAATTTTTATTTGAAGAAGAAAAATATTTTAATTCTAAAAAAATTAATAATTGATATAAACTAGCCATTATATTATATACATTAATCTTATATTTTCCTTCCTATCAATACCATGTAGGCGTTATGTAAGAAACGTTTTCATCTAACGAATAATATGAGTCATTAAGAAAATCAATAAAACGTAACCTGTTGAAAATTTAAAGATCACATATATTTATTAACTTAAACTATTATCTAAGTGTTCATTTTTAACTTTATTTTATTAAATTTTATATATATAGTCGTAAATGTTATTACAAAAATAAAATGTTTTTGAAATATATTTTTAATTTAATTATAATAAAATTTTATGTTAAATATTAATGATTTTTTATTATGTATGTAATTATAAAATTTTCGAAATCAAATGATTATCTATGTATTGAATAGTAGCCACGTTACGTCTAACATGGAGTAGGGTTCCATGTGATCACAATCCGATATTGACTCGAGAATATTCGGATAAGTCCGGATTCATTCGTTTTCATTCGTTCATATACAACGTTGAAATTCTTTGCATTATTCTTTGTTATCAAAATTTCAAGTCTTTTTATATATTTTTCTATTTTTCATCTATATTCTTTTTAGTGTTGAAGTTAATCATTCATTTTATCGACCGCATGAAAATTGGTAAAATTATTAATAGAAAACATTGATGAATCTGCTATAACAAAGAAAATAACGAACAATTTTCTTCAGATATATTTGTTATACACGTGACAATAAACGAGAAATTCCATTCTTTTGTTGAGAATAGACTGAAGCAGTGAATTATAAATACATCATTGTTAAAACATCGTGAAATAAAAGATGGAAAAGTATACAATAGGTTAGAAACCATGGAATTGCAAAGGATTAAAAAATATGAAAGTCATCTTGAAGTTTTTAAATAGCATTTCATATTTTCTTTGTAGTGAGATAATAACTTCAATTCTGCAGTAAATTAGAACATACATGTTCAAATAAAATAGAAACTATATCAAATAAAACGAATCATTTGACTTCTATAATCATGGCATAATCAGGTATGAAAACATTAAATTACTGAAATTATAACAAATTTTTAAAGCACTTTAAATTATCTATTCTTGTAAATTTTGATAAATTTGATTAAAGGAATAATTTTCCTGTAAAAAAAAGTAATAAAATACATTTTATTATAATATATCTTATTATTATTACATTACTTTAGCACCTAGTATCATTTATTTATTCTTCACAATCAACTTTATTATAAATTATTATTTTTTTTTCGTAAAATATGAAAACAATTAAAATTTTAACAAGCTCTTCTATCTGCGTTCTTTCTGATCCGACACGTCATTAGAAACCCGATAAAAATTCGTTCACCGATCTCGTCGTGCAGGAGCACTGTTCGCAAATCGTTGCTACGTTACTATCGTTGCTACAGAACATAGAATCGCATTATCGCCAACGACTCGAGAACGTGCATGCAGACCCATGGGTTCTTCTCTCCTTTCTTCGTGTCCGGCGATCGAACGAACGAAGCCTAGCCGGCTTCTTTCGTTGGTTTCTCTGGCCGTGTCGAGAAATTTCTGAAGCGTATATAGGGAAAGTAAGGGCCACTTCCGCCGGATAATTTGAACGGGAGAAAGAAACGGTCCGTGTAGGAGTGGGAATGTCCTTCGTACACGAAACTCGCGGGTTCTCGATTTGTCTGCGCGTACTACGCGTTTACTACGGTGTCGTACGCGCGTGCAACTTTACGCGACCGGATGTTGCACCGCGTACCAGACGACGTCGTAACGACTGAACAATAAGTGCTTCGCTGGAGTACTACGAGTAAATCGAAACGATCACGATTCGTCTTATATTAGATGCCCGGCGAAAACCGGATGACCGGATGTTTCGTTACTCAGTTGATCGTTGATTCGACGATTGGTCGGATGGTTGGATGGAAATAATATAGATACGATTATTTATGTAGGCTTAATGTGAAGCTATATTATTTTTAATTTAATTAATTGTTATTGATATAAATAGTATGAATTTTTGTTTTTAAAATATTTAATTTTCAGGAAATACGAAAATTGACATGAGAAAAGAGAAAAATAAGTAGTCATTAAATAAAGGTTATGTAATAAAAAGAAGTGAGAAATGAATGAGTATTTATTTATTATTATTTGGTACGTAGTGTAATTATTATTATTAATAATGGAAATATTAATTATAATTACGATAATAAGTTAGAAATTATATGCTAATATTAGAAGCAATATATTTATTATATAGTAATCATTTTTATGGCCATGGTCATGGTCACGATGACAGTGACAAGCTATAGTGACAGTGATGAAATCACGATCGTATTATATTACTCATGGCTGTGTCAGAACAAACTTGTAATCAAATTGCGAGTATAAATTATGAGCAATTTGCGCTTTTTTATTAGTTGTTAGTTAATATAGAATATAGTTTATTAGTTAATATAGAATTTTATTATCAGAATTATCTAAAAATTATTTTTATATTAAACAAATGTTTATGTACCTAATTAATTTATCATATTTGAAATTTTCTGTCACGATAATTATATTAAACACAAAATTGCTTATATTAATTAATTAAAAACATTAACTATTTATTCCTTCACTTTTAGTCCTAGATCGTATCAATGTATTTAAAATTCAAATTAGATACTTGTGTTCATTAATTTTTCGCCGTGTTCTTCATTATTGTTCACTTATTAATTAAAGTTTAATGTTATTTCTAGTATGCATATATTAATCTCTGTTTCACAAGACACGAAGTGTATCCTGTATGCTTTGAAGAATAGAATTTTAACAATGAATGGAATATTATCATTATCTTCTTTTTGATAGAACCAACGCATATTTCGTTTAGTATGAGATATTAAGTTTATATATTTAAATATTAAATATTTTATTTATATTGGATTTAACAATTAGTGTTTCTAGTGTATTATGTATTTATTGCTACTAAACGTTAACAATTATAATAAATAATTAAATATTAACAGTTTTTGTTACATAATAAGCTTACATCGTACAAAATAAATTATAAAATAGATAATTACAATAGATAATACAAATGAACCGTTGAGAATTAATGTTTATGTGAACAAAACAATTTAATAAACAATAATAGGTTCTTTAATTACACATGTACATAACTATGAATCATAGCGGCGGCGCCTTAAGTCTAATATTAGACTAATTACAGATAACTTTTATTATCAAGGCAAAATAATAACAATGATGTAATTCATATTTTTAACAATCAATAAATACAATTATCTTTTCATATATTAAGATTTTTATTATAAATTTCTAAAAAGCTAATATTCTATCATTCATAATTTTCTAATTAATTCTGTCAAAAAAATCCTTTTAAAATCTAACATATCTTTTATAAATATAGTCATGTTAATGTAAATTTTTACATCTGCTCCCCCTAAAGGGTTAATTCTTATTCTAACTCTTTTGTCTCGGTCGGTATTATTGGAATCGAAAATAACGACCGTGTCCCGCAATCCAATTGTCAATCTGTGATTACCATAATTTAAGATTAATCGAAGGAATCAATTTACCAAATCTTATAAACTTTCCTTGGGGAATCGTGTATACTCATCAAGTCCTTTATTAGACAAAGTACGACAAAGTGGCCATCGTACTTACACAACACGTGGTCGGTATGTCGGGCGAAGATTTATGCCAGTGAAAAGCCAGGCGAATATCCTCGCCTCCAGCCGGTTTAAATGGCTTTGAGGCGGCTCTATACGCACTCTCGCTGCGCTAGTATTTAATTTCACTAGAGCATGAATGTTCCGGTCGGTGCTTACCCATCTTTTACGATACGCCTCGCAACGTCTTCCCCTTCGAACCTGGCCTCGAAACTCATGCCAGTTAACCGCGCCATGGATCCTATGTGCGTCAAGAAAATGAATTTAGGTGCAATCGGATCTTCGACGCTTGCGAAATCTTACGATCACGTGGGAAACAGTCATGGTTCCTTTTCAAACTTTGCTGGAGCTTCTTTCGATAGTTTGTCTTTTGAGGTTTTAATTTTTTCTTGGGAATATTTTTTTGGGAGTTAGTAAAAAGGTTTGTCATCTTTTATTGTGAAGAGTGATGCTATAATTTATGACAAGTAATTTGAGAAATGTTCTCTTTTGATTTGGTGTTTTTTTTACATAGATGTGTTTGAGAGGTTAGGTATGAAACAATGTGGTAGAATCAAGACAGTATGTATTTGAAGAATATTTGAGAATTCTTGTGATTAATAATCAAGATTTTGTGCATAATTAAACTGATATTTTTAGTGAAATTATAGAAATCATCAAGATATACGAAGAAAGTATCACATAACCGTAACAAGTTTGATAAAATGTTAGAAATGAATTTTATAATTTACAAATTCATGCAACAGGAATTTATAATCTACAACTTGAGGTTTGTAAATTTTCATTTATCAATAATATTAATATTAAACACGAATAGAATTGAAATATATTTTTTTCTAATTTTAATTATTTTATTTTCTTTCGTATTATACGTTATTTTTTGGCTTGTTTCAAAGAAGAAACTTCCAGAAGTTTCTTCTTGGAAATAAAGATTTTCCAATCATTCTACCATTCTAGTAAATAAGCCATTTATAGTCGTGAACCCGGTTTCTACTCGAGTCGGCGCCTTTATCCGAACTTGTTCGTCCTTTATCGCCATGTAATGGTCCCGATATGCGATTGTTAAATTTGCATTCATGCACCTATGGATATCTTTTCATTTCAAATTGTTAATATGTTACATAAACAAAATGTTATATAAACAGTTTATAGTATAAATATATTTATTAAAATTTAAACGTATATTAAAGTATATATATATACATATATATACATACATTCAATATATTTTGACATAACCTAAAATAAGATTATCATCAAAATATTCTCTGAAATAATTTAATTTTTAATATTTAAAATACTTTTTCATAATAATATAAGACGTTTCGGTTTATATAGACGCATTATCCTCAATAAATAATAAATTAGTTGATTTACGCCAAGCTATTTACAAATATAAGGATGGTAGCGTACCAACCCAAGTCTCATTAAACGATTATTAGTTGCTTACGTTTAAAGAAGCAATTTCGACAGACCAATGTCCGCATTTCGGCTACGTTGGGTCCGCAGACCGACTGAATTGCCGCTTGGGGCTAATTAGTGTTTAACTAGCGAAATAATCTTTTTTTCTAACTGTTCACGCCCCTCGGTACAGTCCGATGTCTCCTTGGAATCGTTGATGAAGCTGTGCTTTATATGGGATATATCTTTATGAGAAATTTTTCAACGATGACGAACATTTCGAGAATGTTTAAAGGGCTTTTTTCATATCATTATTCTTCTTTAACGTAACAATTTTAGGTTAGGTTTTGAGGTTTGATGATATTTGGGATTAAACATGACTAGTATTTAGATTTTTTGATTTTTCGAAATTGCTTAATATTTTAAGATACTATTAGGATACTATTTAGGATACTATTTTTTTTAAATATCTAAAAATCTTACAAAAATTCATAAAGAGTATTATAGTATATAGTATAAATCTACTGTAATTTCATTAGATAATATCTTTAGTTTCCTTTAGTAGATTAATAAATAAATGTTTTAATAGAAATAATTTAAGTTTTTCAAAATCTTTCTGTTTATTCTTTTTGTTTCATTTGAATAATTAGAAAATATTTATCAATTTTTTACCAGAGTTACTAGGGTTATTAGATTTTCCTAGGATTACTAGATTTTCCTAGAATTGCTAGTAACCACAATTATTACACAATTGGAATAAAATTTAATATATATATCTTAATGAAATTCGTTCGAATTCTTTATTGACAATCGAATTCTGATTATAACCGAAACAAGAGTCCAGGAAACAGGTGCAGAACGAACCACAAGTGTTTATCGGCGAGCCATCGTGCTTTGCGAGTTTCCTCGCTTTTGGTTTGCTCGTACGGATCGTTGGAAATGTCCGTTAAGGTAAAAGTGGCATTCCATTCCTCAGCCAGCATCGAGTGCTGCCAGTACACGAACTTGTTTCGATTAGTTGAGAACGAAATCCCGTCGAAGTCTTTATAAAAATTCCGAAAAAGAATTCCCCAAAAAACTTATCTTGCTCGTTGATCGGTCTGCCGCCAATAATCGATGGAAGGAAGTTCCAACGTTGACGTTGACAACCGATCTTCCGTGAGTTCCTTGTTTTATATCGAAGGAATTGAATCAATCTTTCGTCAAATTTTAAGATTAACATTATTCGTGTTTAGATACAAAACGAATAATTTTTCTGTCTTTTTTAATAACAATATTTCGAAAAGACATATAACATTTGACATTTTACGAAATTTAACGAAAATAATTATTAATTTTTTTCAAGAAATTATAAATCCAAAGTAACATTTCCTATCGAAGAATCTTTGAAAAAATACCTTTAAAGTATAATAGAAAAATTAATTCTAATCACAATTTCTTCGAAGATAAAAACGATCTACCAACATCTTCCAAACAAATCATCGATTCGATTTCAATTGAACACCCCAAAGTAGCCCAAGTAGCCCGTGGCCCGGGGGGAGGGGGAGGGCCCAACCACCAATATTTGGCTTATCTGTCCGCAAGTGGGCGTGCTCGATAATTCCCAACAAGCCTGC